CCCACCGCGTTCAATTCCCTCAATTTACGACAAGGGATATAAAATCGGCAAGGTCTATCTTCAAACGCCGCCTCTCGTCAGCCGCTATCGCCACCTAGTGAAGGCAGCTAGGCATGGGGTAGGGGGGGGGGGGACAGCTGCGTCGCGACGTGGCGCGACGCGCGCTGTGTCGCATCGAACCGACGTAAGGTGATACCGACCCCCGCACGCGACATACCAGCGAGTGACAGGCATCCTAGATAAGCGAGCGTTGCATGCCTGTATTTGAATGCCACCTATCAACGGCAGTGTGTGTGTGTGTGTGCGCTGTGTGTGGTGTGTGGTGTGTGTGTGTGTGTGGTGTGTGCGTTTGTGTGTGTTGTGTGTGTGTGCGTGCGTGCGTGTGGTGCGTCGTGCGTGCGTGCGTGCTGCGATGTGATGTGCTCGTGTATGTGTCATGCGTGTGGTTATGTGCGTAGCGTGCGTGTAGTCTGTGGCGCGGTGTGATGGTGTGTGTGTGGTGCGTGTGTGTGTGTGTGTGCGTGTGTGTGCGTGTGTGTGTGTGTGCGTGTGTGTGTGCGTGCGTGCGGGTGTGTGCGTGTGTGTACACATGTAGTTACGCACAACTGCCGCAGGACGAGCGAGAGAGCTAGGGCGGGAGATCTTGTTACACACAACTATCGAGCAATATATCGCAGCCCCCCCCCACCCGATTGATTGTCAGTCGTTTGGCATTCCCACCGTCACCCCACACCCTCCTCTACCCTTCCCTCACCTTCTCTCTGTTTCTCCACCCTCTCCTTCTCCCCCTCCTTTCCGTTTCCTCTTTCCGTTCACCCCACATCCTCCCCTACCCCGTCCCTCATCTTCTCCGCTCTCCTTCTTTTCTCCCTCCTTTCCCTTCGTTTCACCTTCTCCTTCCCGGTGCTCCTATTGCTTTCTCCTTCCCTCCTGTATTCCTCCCGCGATCTCTATGTTTTCCTTGCTTCCTCTTGTTTTTTTCCTTCCCTGCTGTATTCCTCCCTCTGTTTTCTTTGCTTGCCAGCCCCTCCCCCCGAGCATTCCCATATCAGTTATTCCACTTTTTGTATAAGGAGCTTTTCCTGCGTCAGCCAGTGTTCTTGCGTGTTTAACGATATATTCTATAGAGAGCTGATGAAGAGAGCGTCTATGTTAGAGGGCTAGCTCTGCGCAGTCCATACCTCACGCGCACCTAACGCACGGATGAGGGGAGAGAGCGATGGGGAGAGAGAGAGAGAGAGAGAGAGAGAGAGAGAGAGAGAGAGAGAGAGAGAGAGAGAGAGCGATGGGAGAGAGAGAGGGTGAGTGGGGGTAAGAAAGAGCGTGCAAACGTGAAAGAGAAACAGAAAGAGAGCGATCGAACGTGGGAGAGAAAGAGAGTAGAGGGGGATTGAGACAAGAGAGGGGGGAGCATGGAAGCGGAGAGGGGAGAGAGAGAGAGAGAGAGAACGAGAGAGAGAGAGAGAGAGAGAGTGAGAACGAGCGAGAGAGAGTGTGAGAATGAGAGAGAAGGAGAGAGAGAGAGAGAGAACGAGAGAACGAGAGAGCGAGAGAGTGAAAGAGCGGGAGGGAGGGAGAACGAGAGTGAGAGCGAGAATGTGAGAAGGAGAGAGAGAGAGAGAGAGAGAGAGAAAGTGAGAACGAGAGCGAGAGAGTGAAAGAGCGGGAGGGAGGGAGAGCGAGAGTGAGAACGAGAGAGTCCGCGGGAAAGAGAGCTAGGGAAAGAAAGAGAAAGAAAAGAGAGAGGGAGAGAGGAAGAGAGAAGGAGCGCCGGTACGACGAGCTATAGTTAGTACTAATATACCGCACACCGATCTGTCGCGGTAGACCACGGTGGGCGAACATGAACAGTCGAGTGGGGGACCTTACGATATTTGACAGTACGTATTTGTTTGGTTGTAATAAAGTTTTATTTTACATTTGTTTAAACACCAGACGCGTTCGCGTGTTTATAGTGTATATAATATTTTTCGTCAGGATTGCGTTGTGACAATTTGCAACAATTTGTGATACTGTAGGGTGACTGCAGAAGTTGATTACCTGCCAACCTACCTGCGTGCGTGTGTGTGTGCGTGCGTGCGTGTGTGCATGTTTAACATACTCTCGTGACGCATCATTGAATGTAAGCGACATGTAATAATATTGACTGACCACAGACGAGATCAAAAAAAGACAACAGTACAGAACGATTCTTAAATATTAATATATTACTCGTTCTCGTTAATTCGACGTTCACATATGTTACACGCGATATATACGGTACAGCATAACGACAGCGTCATATTACGGCGTATTATTATTATTTTATTCTCGCTAGAAAACATTGAACTCTCTCTCACGCGCGCACACACGCACGCACACACACATTCTCTCTGATACGGTTATAATATAGTAATAGAAGCTCTACTTACTTTATACACGCGCGCGTGCGATATCTCCCGCTATACACGCGCGCGTGCGATATCTCCCGCTATACACGCGCGCGTGCGATATCTCCCGCTATACACGCGCGCGTGCAATATCTCCCGCTATACA